GTAAGCACGATGAGTGCAGTGTGCATCTTTAAACATCCTTGTTACGGCAAGAGGGTTCGGCAAAGAAAACTATGGAAAATTTAGCTATACCAATAGAGTCATTTAAGTTAACACACAGGAACATCTTTTAAACCAAACATGAAACTGCAGGAAAAACTAAGTTTGCTCTTAAAAGACAATTAACAGGTCAGAAAGTCAAACCGCCAGACATCTGAAAAAAACAACAGACGTCGACAGGTGGAGCAGCTCCAAAAGAAAACTGAGAGAAGAAGCTCTATGAGAAGTAGAAGGGACAACTTATGAGGCTGGAGGCTTCTGAAGAGCTAAAAGTACTTCTAATGACAAAAAACTAGGCTGAAGTCCCTGAAACCTGTCAGGAACTGCTCGAACAGTTGTTTAAAAACTTTAACACTTGTTTTCTCGGAATGTACATTTTCCGTCTTTGAGAAAAGATATCTCATGATGTATTTAACCAATTGTCCTGAAATTTTCAGGGCTTATTCGTTTATTAGAGCTGTCTTAATTAAGTATAGGAAATTTCTGTATCTTGTGTGGAATACATTTTATGACAAAAAATATTATCGAAAAAACCTATGTTAACTTTGTACCTCTGCTGTGACCACTAGATTTATCATACAAAAAAGTTCTATGCTCATTTAAGATAATGATGCCTATACTACTTACTGACAAAATTTCTTAAAATTCCAAGCAATTTATAAGCAGATATCTTTTCTCAAATGCACCCTAGTTTTGCACAGCATGTGGTATGATTGCCCGCCTGGTGTCAGGTTACAAAGGACGTTAGGCACTAGTGATTAGTATTTTTAGTTTCTATAGGTCATAAGCTTTCTACTGATATATAGTTTGTCATAACTCTGGTGAATATCTTTAAAATTACAGCCATTTCTAAAATGACCATCAATCCATGTATACCCCCGCCTTAAGTGGCGTATAATAGATTAGACAACATTAAGTTTATGAAACAGATGATATTCTTTAAAATAGTTATATACATCGAAGGTTATAGATTTTCTTTCTTTAGAAAATCTGACAGGTTTATATAAACCTGTCAAACCTGTCTGAATCCGCCCCTGGTCAATAGTGTCACAAGGGGGTATCACAAACGCCATCATGTGACAGAGAGACGTACGGGGGGAAATTTATCCCTGTCTATAACAAAACAAGACCGTGCTTGCAAATATATGTCCCTCGGATGACAAATAAATGTTTTCTATCAAAATATATTGCGACAGCTATTCAACGAACCAGGGAAACCTGGGAAATAAAGGAAGAGCAAGTGAAGAAATTGCATGAAAGTGGCAGAGATAAGATGTCTACGAGCCATTAGAGGTGCAACAAGACGAGATAGAATGAGAAACGTAGACATAAGACAGGAATTGAAGGCAACAGAGCTGAGAGAGAATACTCGAGAAAGTATTAACTGAAATGGTTTGGGCGCGTGAAGAGAATCGAAGTGAAAGAGCTTGTTAGAAGGGCAATGGAGCGCAAAGGCCTGTTTACACTTGCATTTTTTGCTGCTAGTTTAAGCGCGATTTAGTTTCTGCTGACGTGATGGCGACATGAAATCTCCAGTGTGAACACCCTGCGATTTAAATGCAGTTCCAGTGCAACTTCACTGCGACAAGCTGCAAATATTTCGATCGTGATCGAAATTTATCGCAACTCGCTGCGATTTTTCAAAAGATGTGAACAAAATATGACTGTACTACCCCTCAACGGCAGGCGTTGTCATCTCAATAAAGGCGTTTATCAAAGCCAATTAGCAACATAAACTTATAAATATTTATAATTCTTCATGCACTTTCACACTGTTTTTAAAAGAAATATTGCACAGGTAAATCTATACTATATAAATACAGTTATAAACTAACAATAACACATGTGTAAATAGGGAAATATTACCTCGTTCACTTTGGTCTTTGTCTTTGTACTAAGTTTAGAACAAAAACTGGTGTTTCTATTCGTTTATGTGCGAGTTGTAGTTCAACACAGAAAGTTTCAGACCCATTTTGCATGACATAAATCTTGCCCTTGGCTTTTATACGCTGTATTTTTATAGAATAAACTAGAACAGGTGACGAATAGTCGGAAATTTTTTCTACAGCCAATCACTTGTAAGAAAACAGCCATAAAGAACCTGATTTATAGAACAAAATCTTGTATTGCTTGTAAACTTGAGTCAAGCTCCCATGCATGTATTGAAAAATTAACTCAGGTTACAAGCCAGTGATAAAATGGAAATTAAAATTGGCTGCAATTTGCAGTGTTGTCGCACCAAAGTTGCAGTCAAAATCACAGGGTGTTTACATTGGAGAGTTCAAAAAATCGCCGTAGAAATAGCAGTGAAAATTGTAAGTGTAAACAGGCCTTAAGGAACCAGGAACAAGGAGTAGTGGTCGACCAAGAAAAAGATATATGGGTGGATTGTGCTCGGAATGATGGGAGAGTGGTGGATTTGGACAAAGTCAACGACAGAGTAGAGTGGAGTAAGGTGTTGAGACGAGCCCCTTCAGGGGAGACTAGGGGGAGCTTATTTGTACTTTTGAATGAAACGTAATTCGTTCATGTTGATTCAACTTATTGCTCCATGCAGGAAAGACGCTGACCTGGATTTTTTGCTTAATGAACCTTTTGCTATATAATAATTTTCTCAGCGGTTTTCTATAATTGAGTACTTCATGTAAGAAAAATATAGGTGATCTTGAGACCTATAGCTATTTTTTGTTTGGAAAGGACGATTAATTGACGAATATATACATGGGAAGAAGATTATAAAATAATAAATAAATTTAAGACATTTTTTCCCATGGGTGACAATCGTGAGTATATTTTTTCTCTCATACAGAACATTTCCTTTAAGTTCTAGAATTTTATAACAGACAACGCGTCGTTCAGACCTATTTTGGAACAATTTCAATGATTTTCCTACATTTAGCTGTATTGTTACGTGAGATTGGGATACTCACTAAATTTTAAACGCAATTCAAGCTTTTTATTTATCTTGATAAGCGGACCTACCGATCGTAAATTTGCACTAGAATTTATTGCAAACTTCCATCTCCCGTGATTTTGGGATTTTGTGAGATGAGTTCAAGCAAATCTGGTCGCACATGCGCAAATTTTCAAGCTATTTTTACGTACTGAATATAGACACGTAACACACACGTTACACCACACGTTACGCCACACGTTACATAATAATTTGTAGTAGAACATATAGAGATATGTGACACGTTACACATTACACCCATTGTTTTTAAAAATAAATATATATATTTATTTTTTCAAAAATTGGGTGTAACATGTGTAACGTGTCATATTTCTATATATTTTACTATAGATTATTATGTAAAGTAGGTGTAACGTGTAATGTAACGTGTGTGTAACGTGTCAGCGTTTGCTTTATGAACACAAGTGCATAAAATTTACATAAACTAATCACTTTAGATTAGCTGGTGAACATCGCACAAGCGCAACAGCACATACTGCAGTATAAATGACAAAGTTTTCTTATTTTTCGTCATATAGCTAAGCTGAGAAACTGTAATACACTGACTCCCTCCTCAGAAAATGATGACTAATTGAGCTTGAAAGGACGTAAAAGAAGTTAAAAGCAGTACATTAGATTTTTGTGGCTTCTTGGATATGTCTTACTATATCGCCAAGTATTTTAATAGATCGTACTTAGCCTACAGCTTGTATGTTAAAAAAGGCCCTGACGAACGAGTCGGAACTTGTAATAATTCACGAGTGAATAAAAATCGTATTCGCGAACCAACCATGATGTTATTTGCAGGGACGCCGGAACGATGATAAGGCAAAGGGGGGGGGGGCGGACGCACACCAAGGGCACCTCTATAGAGCAAAACTTCAAAATCCCAAAAAATTTCGGTCAGTGTACCATTTTAGGGGTCAAAAATTTTTTCCGGACATACCAAAAGTCAAATATAAACTATAAATTGCCTGAATCTCATGATTTTCCTACAAAATGTATCGTTGGAAATGTGATTTATCACGTAGAATTTTACAACTAAAAGGGCACTTCTGCCCCCCCCTGCCCCCCCCCTAGCAAAAGGCAGGGGGGGGCAGCCGCCCCCCCCCCTGCCCCCAGTTCCGGCGTCCCTGGTTATTTGTTTATTATATAAGTACTGAGATTTCATTTACGATGATAAAGTTTTAATGCTATTAATTTCTATGTATTTAAACGCTAAATTGTTTATAATGCTTGCAGCCGGGTAGTTTTTTCTTAAGATGTCGCTTGAAAATTGCTAATATAGACTTCGGAGAGAAGATGACTCGTATACTCTTTCCCGTCTTTGGTTATGACCGAATTGAATTGATAAACTCAGACACGTACTCGTTCAGTTCTGCTGTCAGAATATCTTCCATTTTTCATTCTTCATTCTTGGTTTCCAAAATCAAGTGTAATACAGTAATAGTTTTACATCTCGCTCGTTTTTTTTGTGAGGAACTAGCTTTATTTTAATTTCTTGCTCTGAAATAAAATTGTCAACGGAAACGGCGTCCGTAAATCACGCAGCCATTTTGATTTTCAAATTGAAATAGGTTTCGCGCCAAAAAAATTGTCGTGGAAAACAAACAAATTTTCCAGTACGATCATTTTTCACTAGTCAAAAAACATCGTTCGTCCAATCAGACGGCGCGAACGATGTTGCTTCACCAGTGAAATTTCATCCTTCGCGTCGCTGATTGGCTGTGCCAAAATTCCGTACGATCATTATGCAATGTCATTTTAATGAATAAAACCTCAGTACTTATGTAATAAATAGAAATATGATCAAGAATGCTACACGACTTGTTTGTGTCGGTGACTAATCCGTCACGCACTATTCTAACCCACTGACCAGTGAACATGTAAAGAATTACGATCACCCACTTCGCCAATTGTATCAATTATTGCACAGACAATGGTTGCCTAGATCGCCCGCTATCAAAGCTAGCGTTCATTAACAGCCTTTTGCTCTTTACCTAAACTCGTCATCTATTGCTGTTCGAGGAATTAAGGACTTAACATGAGTGTCTGGTTATGTGGTTGGCCGCGCTTTATTTTGTTCGTTTCACTAATCGTGACCGCTAATACTGCAACTGTTCCAGCGGAGAAGTTACTGACTAAATTTGGCACAAATTACACCATGGATGCAGCGCAAACTGCAGAATTATTTGAGAGTATAGGAATCTCCAATTGGCACTACGATGGTTCAAGGGAAGAGGTAAAGCTCTTTTGGATTATTAGAGTCATCTATATACGAGTGACAATAAGCGGTATTTTTCAAAACTAGTCAAATTTTCCTGGCCTTAAATAAGCCGCGGCCTATTGATCTTCTGATACGAGTATGAGTCGGTCATAAGCATGAGAAAAACAAATTCTACTTGACTACGGTTCTCCCTTGCCCGGGTCATACTCGTATAAGATATATACCTATACATTTACCGATCACAAATAGAATCTCAGGGGAAAAATCATGTACAACAATCGCTGGGTTAATAGCTGGCACCATGCAGGCATGCAGAAATTCTGATGTGATTAACATCACAAATATTAGGTAACATTTTTCCTATATAACTTGACCTTGTGGCTCACAAGGTAGAGCGTCGTTCTGGACGGCCAAGGTCGCGGGTTTGATCCCTAGAATTAATTTTCTGCTCGCCCAGCTCACACTCGTAAGAAGATAAATATACCATACATTTACATAACGAGTAGAATCTCAGGAAAAATCGTATACAACATTCGCAATGCAATCCTGAATATAAAATCATATACCGGGTGTCCCCTCAAATTAAAAACTGGACACCGTTTGATTTCATGTAACATAAAAGCTATCGAAATGAAATAAAGATAACTGCATTCAGAAAGGAGTATTAAACTTAGCTTTTGATATACAGGTTGTCCCCCCAAAAAGAAAACTATTGAAATCACTTATTGTTAAATTTAAATGCCCTACCGAAAAGCTGAACGTAATGATGCGTAAAATATCGACAAGGTGCATGTATTAAAATTTAGTTATAACATCTCCTTGTAATTTGCGCGATTTTCTGCTCTTGGGAATTTAAAACAGCTTCTTATACAGTTTCTTTATGCATAAAATTTACTTAATATGTCAATCATTTATGCACTCGTGGGAACCAACAGAGCGCTAAGGCATTCAAATCCTAACAATTAAATTGTTATTGGTGATTTCAATAGTTTTCGTTTTTTCCTATTTGCCTACAGTATTTAACAAGTAGAACTACATTCGGTAATTATAAAGTTGTTGCATGCTAATTTTTGGCATTTTCAAAAACAGTAGTTCAACGTTCAAACATCAATAGGCAATAGCGCAGTCAATATTGAATGCAAATTCAAGTGCAATATAGTATATATCAAAGTCTAAGTTAGTCGTGTCTGAATACAACGATCGTTATTTCATTGCGATAGCTTTTGTCGCTTTTACGTTACATGAAATCAAAACAGTGTCCAGTTTTTTGGGGGACACCCGCGGTATATGTATAGGTTATTTTGAGGCAACGAGGGGATATGTGATTTATTCACCGAGGCGCGCAGCGCCGAGGTGAATAAACACATATCCCCGAGGTGCCTCAAAATAACGTACTTATTTTTCACACTGCGAGGTCGCGTTAATGAGTCAGAAAAGAAATAATTCTTAATGCCATTTTGCCTTCGCGATGTTGTTTTTTCTCATTTTTTGTGCTGCAAAGACATTGCAGGTGAATATTAGAGGGGATTATTAATTGCAGGTGAATATTAGAGGAGATTATTAAACGGAAATTGATTAGAGGAGAATATTGAATATATTCCCCGACAAGAACAAAGGAAACCAAGCAGGGTGAAAAATAAGCATGATTGTTGAGGTGCCGCTATAACAATGTTATCCCAGGCTAGTATTCGAAGTGTCATTTCAAATTTTTACTCTGGGAGTGTTTCCTTGCTATTACTATACGGTTTTTAATAGATGTTGGTCAAACTTAATTTTTAAATAATTATCATACACAGACTTTCCATAAGAGTAGCATAAATAGGCGGGTGTCAAACAATCACACGGTGTTGTTATTCACGTTATTTCACGCCATTCTTGAACACAAATCATTTAAATTTTATGCTGCTGCAGTAACGAATTGTATAATGGTAATTATCGCGGTAGATCCCTTAAGGGAATTAGGGAAACCGAGACAATTAATCATGAACTATTGAAAATGAAGTCCCATTAGGACTTATTGACTTTAATTGATGTGTTGTGATCTCAGTGAAATACTTATATTGTCTAATCGCCTTAATATATGTAGCTACAGTTGGTCTATTTATCGGGCATCTGGCTGTACATCGAAAGCATGACTTGCAAGTTACTCTGCGTCCTGCATGAGATTTCTGCTCGCGTAGCAGAAATCCGTCATTGCCGGGCTCAGACTCAGTGATCTGGCTTAGTATTTCCTGAACTGAAATGGCAGGTTCGACCCAGCTTGGACGCACGTAGATCTGCTCTTCGTTACATTTCTCCGCTAACATATTGAGAATCCAGCCTAGTCCCAGTCGTTCTGAAGCAAGCGCGAGAAAAAAACGTTCATGTAGTACGAGACTGGGACCTAGGTGTGACGTCACCGCTAAAGGTGCTTCAGAACGCCTAGCAGATTTCAGTATTTTTAATATGGCGGAAAATTTATATATACAAATAACCTTGTAAATACGACAGTGTTCGTTGATCATGTTCGATATCTACATAACCAAATTCATACTGTATTAAAAATGTGCTCAACTAAAAAAAAAATATACAAATTTACGATACTGAGCCTGAGCAATGGTCGTATATTCGTTGATGTTATTTATATACTCGCAAGTTGTGATCAACACTGGACCATACTGGTATACAAAACTACGCTTTCTACTTGACAGGTTTAATATAAGTCTAGTAGCTGAGGAGATTGGAAATATTTGCCTGACAATGACTATGTTGTCAAAACATTTTTAGTCGGAGATTCGGCATAATTTTCAAGCTTCTTGATAGCATTTAATATGGCTTATATTTTAGTAAACACGAGTCATATTCAGCCCCGTTATTCCATTCTGACCGTATGGTAGCGAAACGTAGCCTATTTCATTGTTCCGACAGCATTAGAGCAAAACTAATGACTTAATTATAAACTCAAAAGAAATTTCCATAACATTTTCTTTTTACAAACGCGGTATGCTTGGTAACCAGGCCAGGGACCACTTTTTTACAATCAGGGACCATTTTGCAAAAATCTGCTAGGCTCTCTCGCTGAAGCGTTCCGCACAGGACACCCAGGCATAAAAGCAGCGAATAGAGAGAGAGAGAGAGAGAGCCTGGGACTAGGCTGTTGAGAATCCAGTTTAGAAAGTAAACAAAGACAATAAAAGTCGCATTCATTTGAAAGATCATCCATTATAGCGAACAATTTTGCAAATATGAGTCCGATAAAAATTTTTTGTCGAAGGTTTATAATTTCACCATCAGGTGTCAACTCAAAGGCCTTATACTAGTTTGACCACTGTGCACAATTAATTACTATACACCTCCATAACTTTTACTCCTTTATTAGATAGATAGATAGATAGATAGATAGATAGATAGATAGATAGATAGATAGATAGATAGATAGATAGATAGATAGATGGATGGATGGATGGATGGATAGATTGATTGATTGATTGATTGATTGATTGATTGATTGATTGAAATCTTTATTTAAACACGGTGGTTTTATCAAATGGAATAAATAATAATTATTTACAATTTGTTATACGAACTTACAATTTGTTATACGATATACGTACATTTTTACATTTTTTTTGAATTTTTGAAAGAAAAGAAACTATTTACAATTATTCATAAAATAATAACTGACTATGTTGGTGCAGATAGCAGATGTTATAATCTTTTTATGAACATTTTTAATGAAGGCTCGTGTTTAAGTTCGTCTGGTAAAGAATTCCACAGCTTTGCTTTGTGAAAGCAAAACATGAATTATAATAATCTGTTCGATTTACGGGAAGCTCGAAATTTAATTTGGATTGACGAAGGCTATAATCATTTAAACTACTATGAAATGTAAACATGTCCATTAAATATTCTGGTGCAAGACCATGTACTATTTTATACATCATAATAGCTTTTTTGTTTTTCTCGCATTTCTTTTATATTCATCCAGTCTAATTCCGCCAAAATCAACGAAGATGATTTTAATAAGGGGTGCTCCCGTAATTATGCGCGCCGCTCTGTTTTGAAGAACTTGCAATTGTTTTTGTAATGTCTCACTTATATTGTCCCAAACAATTGAACAGTAAATAAAATACGGTTCACTGATTAATGCTCTATACAGAGACACAAGATTTTTCCGACTAAAGAGTTTCTTAACTTTACGGAGGGCTGCAATATTACGGGATACCTTTAAACGAATGCTCTGGATGTGTATTTCCCATTTTAGGTTCTCGTCAATATCGACGCCTAAACACTTTACAGATCTAACTTTACTTAATGTCACATTATCAGCCGATAATACTATTGAATCGTCAAGTGCCGATAATTTTTGCCGTGAGCCAATTAGCATAAAATCTGTTTTTAGGACGTTTAGCGTCAGTGTATTAGAACAAAGCCATTGAAATATGTTGTTTAAATCACTTGTCATTTGTTCTTGAATTGATTTAATGTTACAATCTGTAAAGGTCATATTTGTGTAGTCAGCAAATAGTCGGGCAATACTATGGTCCAGGCATTTCGGTAAATCATTTATATATAACAAGAATAAGACTGGACCAAGAATGGAGCCCTGCGGTACTCCACATGTGATGAAGTCCTTGTTAGAATAGACTACATTTACATGGCAGACCTGTTGCCTATCATTCAAATATGATCTAAACCACAATAAACTTTGATCATCAACACCATAGCATGCTAATTTCATCAATAAAATTTCGTGGTCAATGGTATCAAATGGTTTTTTTTAAGTCTAAGAATATGACACCATTAACCATTCCCTTATCAATGTTGAAACACCACTGGTTTGACATATCAAGTAGCGCGGTCAATGTCGAATGGAGTGAACGAAAACCTGATTGTCTGGTATCGATGAGATCATATTCAGTTAAATAACTGTAGAATTATATTAATCATACATTAATCGTTCGAATAAACGAGCTATAGTAGATAAGACTGAAATTGGCCTATAATTATTTGCATCAGCTCTTTCGCCAGATTTATGTATAGGAAATACTTTTGCAATTTTCCAATCATGCACTTGCAAAGCTCCTCAATTTAATGGAAAGATTGGAGAGGTCTGTGAGTGACTGGTAAATATAAGGACTGGCAAGTTTCAATAACTTATTGGATATTTTATGATGGCCTGAGGCCTTACGCAAATTTATTTTCTTAATTAGTTTTATTACATCTTTTGTATCAATTTTTTTAAAATTGAATTTAGATGCAACTTTTGTCATAAAATCATTTGGTTTCCTTCCACTTATTGTGGGAACATTAGATGCTAATTTTGGGCCAATTTCAACAAAATGGGCATTAAAGTAATTTGCTATATCAACCGATTCAGTCAAATCTTGATCTGAACCAGTTGATATTTTATTAATTTCAGTATTTTCAGATTTTCTCCCCATCGCGTCATTCAAAATTTTCCATGTTTCCTTTGAATTGCCGCGATTTGTATTAATTTCGCTCTGAAAATACTGCTTTTTAACTTTCTTAATCTCACTAGATACAATATTACGTTGTCTTCTATAAGCCAGCCAGGTTTCAGGATTATTTGTCAGCATGGGTTTTTTTTTTAGGCTGTCTCGATTAAACATCTTCTGTTTTATCTCAGCATTTATCCACGGGCAAGGCTTATTGCGAACTCTAAAACTACGACAAGGCGCATGTTTATCAATTATTTCAAGGAACATTGATTTCCATGCATCGCAAGCTTTATTAATATCATCAAATTCATTTATCAAAGGCCACTTTGTAGATTTTAGACTTGACGTAAATTGTTTTTCATCAAAGTTTTTGAAATTACGGCATTCAATATAACGCGGTTTTCCCTTGGGTAGACCAATTTTCCTAATTGCATATATTAAATCATGATCACTAAATGAAAGTGGATAAACCTCAATATAACGCGGTTTTCCCTTGGGTAGACCAATTTTCCTAATTGCATATATTAAATCATGATCACTAAATGAAAGTGGATAAACCCCTGAAGATATAATCGATTCGCTTGAGTTGGTTCATAGTTAATAGAGGGTTGGTTATAAACGCATCAATTAAAGAATTTGAATTACTGCTTACTCTTGTCGAATCAGTAATTAATTGAGTAAGTTGGTAATTGATCATTATGTTTACGATATGTTTAGTATCGGGTTTGATCAAAAATTGCAATTCAAATCACCCAGAATATATATTCCTTTAAACTTTCCGTCAACTTTCTTTAAGAAAAGTTCACTAAAATTTTTCAAATAACTCTAAAGAACTTTTGGGAGGTCTGCAAAAAGCAGACTTTACAGTTATAGATAGATAGATAGATAGATAGTTTATTGAAATTTACATTGCAGCCATAAGCTGAATTAAGTAAAATTTACAAGAATTGATAAAAGAGAGGATCTTAAAACATGTTGGAGAATTCCACTATGCATTATATATGTACAAGTTAGAAAATACAATACCTAGATGCTAATTATGCCTAAATTAGGTTACGGTAAAAACTATTTCTGAAATGGTTCATTGTTTAAAACAGTTCTTGAACTGATCGTGTTTATATTTAGATTGCCTAATACTATTGTTAATTATGCCTTAATTGAATTACTGATGATAAAACTATTTCTATAACGGTTCGTTTTTACTCTTGGGTTATTGAATTTCGACTTTTTCCGTAAATTAAGCGAGATATTGTTTTTAGCAGGCAGTAGTTCGTGTAATTTGTGTGCATCATCGTTCATAATATTTAGGAAGACTTTGTTAGTAATCTGTTGGCGCCGTAGGAATAGGGAAGTTAGACCTGATAATAGTAGGGCATCTTCGTAAGATTCTGTGGGGTAGATGATTCGCATTGCTCGTCTTTGAATAGTTTCGAGATCACTCGAAAGATACGTTGGGAGACCATCGTGATACACTGGGCAAGCATATTCAATTAAAGATCTGATGCAGGATTTAAAAAATTGTACCAATTCCAAACAACCCACTTTAACGCGCTTTAACTGAGTTAGGAAGTACAATCTTTTTGAAGATTTTTTAACGAGTTCACTAACATGATAATTCCATTTTAAGTTGTCGGATACATTCAGGCCCAGAATTTTGGCATGTGGGACAATTTCAAGGGGGGCGTTATTTATCGTAACGGGTGGAAAGACTTTTTCCGATTTCGTAAAACTAATTCTCATTTCTTTACATTTGCGCTCATTCAGCACGAATTTTTCGGTTTTGGACTTGCGTACGAACTCATCTACGGTTGATTGGATATGACTTACTTCGTCTTTTTTAACAGTTTCGGAGATGTTTGAGTCGTCCACATATTTCCACATCACATCATTAGAGACATTTAAATCGTTAATCATGACTAAAAACAGCCATGGGCCCAATTTTGTTCCTTGCGGTACACCCACGGGGACCAAGCCCCACTCCGAAACACAATCTTGGCAGAGTTTAACTCTTTGTTTGCGGTTCAACAAGAAATCTATGATCCAATTGACAACATTATTTGGAATTTCGTACGAGACTAGTTTCTGAATTAAAATATCATGATCGATCAGATCGAAGGCCTTTTTGAAGTCGAACAATACGATCCTCACTGTTGCACTATTACCATCGGTGTCACAGTTCCATTTATGTAGCATGCTAATAAGAGCATAGGTGGTATTCAAGCCAGGTAATGTACCGAACTGTTGTGGGTCAACTTTTTTCAATACAGCTGGTTTTACAAAACATTCAACTACGTATTCCTCAGCGACCTTAGAGAGTACTGGAGTCAAAGAGATTGGTCTTAGATCTTTATTTACGTCATTGACAGGTTTTTGCTTGGGTATTGGTACTATATCGGCTTCCTTCCATGAAGGAGGTAAGCGAGACTCCAAGAATGAACAGTT